TTTTGAAAATTTTAAGTTTTTAATTCATCCACTTCCTAATTAATAGGGGTAAAATGGTAAACTCACTATGTCAATAATTGTTTTCTTAATAGGTGTGCCAATTCAAAAGTGGACAAGTAATTAGGGAAAAAGGGTGTACTTTGCTCCTATTGAGCGGCTCACTGACATCATTATTTTTGTAAATGCACTGGTGAATAGAATCGCTCCATCCTGAGAGGATCTATTCCTTTAAACCTCGGGTAGAGAGGAATAATTTCCTTAAGGGAACACTATGCATTCATTGGACTCGGTTTTTTCCTTTCTATTTCATTCTGTTGTTATACAATCGTTAATTTATGCTTATGATATTAATTATTTTTTTTGAGTACATGTTTTAAACTCTGTTGTTAATATTTCTGCAAAGTTATTATTATAAGTATTTGTTAGTAAAAATTAAATAACACACGTTAATTGAGTATTTACGCAAGTTGTCACTCCCCGAGCCTACACCCCGGGTGGACTGACACTCGAAAACCATTGCTGGCCCAAGCGAACCCTTGCCTGGCTTACCTACTCAGCAGAAGACTTTACTTAACAAAGATAAATCCATGTAATAAAACTAGAATGCTATAAAGGAACATTCAACTGACCAATAAGGGAAACTGAAGTCTCAACATAAGCCAATAACAAGATAATGACAAAAGAACTAACTAACTGTCTATGAAACCTCTAACAACTGAGATGGATGTCGGGACAAGACCTACGACATCCTAATGAACTAACTAATAAAGCAATAAAAAAGGGTCCTCCAAAAAGCAAGGAGGATCACCACAAGACTATGAATGCTCAACTGGATCAACGAAGCACTGGATGTTGATCCTGGTTACCTGTATCTGCATCATAGTAAGATGCAGGCGGACTGACATCAGTACATTGAATGTATGAGCTTGCGAGGGGAATTCTAAAACAAGACATAAGCTTAAAAGGAATTGAAAGAACATGCCTAGCCTCAACTCAACTCAACTGACTCATTTCAATATAAAACAATAATATAAATGCAATATAAAGAAAAGCTTTTAAAACATGGATAACAACGCTGTGTATTTAGAAATACATTAGTAACTCTGAATGTATGCAAAGATACAATATAAACTATGAATGTATATAAAAATATAATTAATTTTGTGTATATAAGAATATAAAATACTGCTGTGGGAGTTTCTCTAGCCGACAACCATCACTTTAGAGCTATGTGATGATATATCATCTTGCCTCACGCTGCCAGGGCTGTCATATACCTTGCCAAGGGCATAGAACCTGACTAATAAGTAGATCCACTAAGCTATGCTAAAAAGTACTAAGGAATCATCTAAAAAGTATGACCCTTTTTCAACCCATGATGGCTACATGGGTTATGGGGGCTGGGAGTTGTCTGAACTCTCCCCCATATCGATGCTCAATACTACTCCCAAAATATACTAGCTTATATGTTTAAAAACATAACTTCTTTCTGTGTTTTGAGATAATTGCTCAAAACTTAGCTCAAAGGCTCTCTTGAAAAACAAAGTTTCCTCTCTTGCTTAAATGTGAAAGCATTTACTCTTTACTGAAAACTTGCTCAAAGGCTCTGTGGAAATCAAAGTTTCCTTTCTTGATTAAATGTGAAAATATTTTACTCTTTGGAAATTCATAGTCCCGATATACTCTTTTGAAGAAATGAAACTTCAATCTTTATTCTTTACTCAACTAAAAACTTAAGTCTTAAAACAAAGTAAAAATATTTGTAAAAGACTTTTGGAAGACTCTATGAACTTCTCTTAACTTGGCTCTTAACTTTCCTTGAATTTGAATTTATGGATTCAAGGATTAGAATTTGTGATATGAAAGATCTCATGATGTTTAGGAGTGTTTTTAGATAGTTAAACATGAGAAACGATCAAGAAATCACTATCTGGAAGCAAATTTGCGACGTGGAGATACATTTACATATTTGGTTGCGAAATAAATTTTGAGGCAGAAGGATCCGTGACGCAGAGAAATTTTTTGGGAAAAGGTGGTGAAAGTCTGCGACGCGAACTGGGACACCTGTTTTGTCCGACTTTTTCCTTCTTCATTTCTAACCCCAATTCACCTAAATTTGATTCTTTTTCTCAAATTCTCTTTAGATTCAGATACACAGTATATGTACACAAAATCTAACTCAAACAACTCTAATAATCGACACTATAATCTCAAGAAACTCCTCAATCTCATCCCAATTCAAGAACGAAAGTAAATTCAAGAACACACATCAAGAACATTCAAACTTTCAACTTTTTAGGACGAATTCACGCTGAATTAAACATGTTTGGCGCATGGGTGAATGAACCCAATGTTGTGTGAACTCACATACCTCGTAGGATTGAATCCTTGGCGAAATTCGCACTCAATTCCTCAAGAAATCGACGAATGATTGCTTATTCTCCTCTTTTCTCCCCTTCTTTTCTCTTCTCTGAAAACCCTAACTCTTTTTGATGAAGCGTAAACTGAAACGAATCAGTTTAGACCCCAACTTAATTACCAAAAATGAAATTAAATAATTGGGTAAGGAAAAGACCATAATACCCTTCTAAAATCCGGTTTCGACTTTCCTTATCTAGATAGCCCAACTTCAAATGGGCATATCTCCTTCATACAAACTTGAAATCGAGCAAACTCAGCGCCTTTGGAAAGATGATTCAAAGATCATTCCTACGGTATCATGTAGCACACCTAAATCATCCTGATCTAGGAGTTATGGTTGTTTGAGGTTGACCCAAAACTCATACTTAGCTTAACTTTGTCAAACTTTTCAAATTTGATTATTTCCAAAAATATTTCTTTCAAATTTTAGTTTTTTCTAGTTCTTTCGAGTAGCGGGGTGTTACACAAATTTTTTCTATTGAAACTGTTGAAGGTACAATAAAAGAATTCCTTAAAGATCTATGCTACCATCTTTGAAGAGAAAATTCAAATTTGGAATGTCATTGTAAGGACATAAAGACCTTAAAAACTTTATCGCACCTTGATGTGCGGAGTGAACCAGAAAAAGAAAACAAGAATTAATAAACTTTGCGCGAAGTGAACCAAGAAAAGAAAACAAGAATTAATAAACTTTTGGGTTTAAGGATGTGCCGGATGACCTATAGAGGAGTATGACTAGACTGAAGCCTTTTTTAATCCCAAAGACATAAATAACTACACAATAAATTAATTGCCCATATTCAAAATGAAGTATGGACAGATTCTCAAGTTTACTGCAAGTGGTAAATACTTTTCTTGAAGTAATCAATGTGTTTCTCGACACTGCAATTGGAATAGAAGTGTAGTTTCAAATTGAACTTCATCACTTTGGTATGTTGATTTTAAAAAAACACCCAAACAAACTGAATAGTTTTATGTAATATTTTTCCTTTTCAAGTATATAAAATAAGTTTAATTGTTGTCCAATATGATACATTTTCACCATAATTTTCCATTTTAATAATACTTATGATACATTTAAATGCGAAACTTTAAAATGCTATATGTAAAGCAAAAGCTAGGGCTGAACTTTCTACACGTTAGAAGTAGGATATTTGTTCACTTTTTCCAGCCTTTTAAATTTATTTATCCCTTCATCAACGATTATTTTTTTATTAGAATATTTAATATCTCAGGTTGATGTTCATTTCATTCCCCAAAATATCAAATAGTAACACTTCCTAGAAGCAAAAGGATAAATTATAAAATCAAATTAAAGATGATTGATTGAAGGATAAATAATAAGATATTATAATTATCATTTTCCTTTACATTATTAATGTTCGTTACTATGTAATCTTGTATGTAAGATAATACAGTGTTTTAGTTTTAATGACTAATAGATTTTAAGTATTATTTTATAAATTCAATGATATTACATTTCCGCACGAGGTGCGAGTAATTTACTAGTTATATATATATATATATATATATTTGAAAATATCCCATATTTTTTGGTAGAAGGGATAGGAGGGGGTGGGAGGGTTAAGATTACATCTTCAAAAATAAATAAAATTGAGGTTGTACTATAGGCTTCAAAATTTTGGTTAAAACTTAAAGATAAGTATAGTATAAAGTACATAAATCTCATATATTTGGGGTTAATTACATCATATTCAGAAGTTCCACCAATTACAAAAATCTCAATTTTTTCGTTACTCTCGGATACATTCTTGATTTTCCTATACATTGCAAAATGAAAAGATGTAGCCAAGAGAGGAGAGATGTATCAGAGAATAAGGGATAGGGATGTATCTAAGATGGAATGAGAATATATCCGAGAGAAGATTCTTATAATTTTTTTTAATGATATCTTAAATTGAGTATTTATGAAATTATTCCATAAGTAAATCCAACAAAACGATATTATTGCTCAAAAGTCAACGCACACAAATAAGTAAATAAATTCACGATATGTTCTCTTTTTAGTTTTCCAACCTATGATTTTTCAGAGATAAAATCTTTACAAGTTTGTTTCAAGGGAAAGTTGGTTGGAACACAACAACCTATCCAATCATAAAGTGGAGACAAAAAATGTAAATATGTAATATAAACAAAAAAAACTTTTTGCAAAGCTTTCAATGTTATTTGGAGGATTAAATATTTTGACTTGGAACTCAAAATTCTAAATCTTAAAAAAACTCAGAATTTGGTCTACCAAAAGGATGTAAAAAGATGCTAGAAATGATTAATTTCTTATACACCTCTGTTGACAATACGCATAATACTAGTCCAGGCCAGTGCTATACGACGTGAGATTGATATTCCAATCTTTCTTCTTAGAATGTATTGATTTGACCCCATAAGCGGAAACCGAAAAGCGAGTTTCCGTGGAGTGAGTCTAGTGCTTCCCTTTAACCTAGAAGCACTCAGTGGGACAAGCATGTTGCCGCCAGAAGCAACTTACACATCACATGTGAGGAACTGAAATTTCTATGATGTTTTATTAAGTGCATTAATGAAGCAAAAGAAGGGCACTGAAAAAATAAGAATATGTTTGATGATTAACAATATAGACTATCCTAACCTCACTGATATATTTGATCAACCTAAAATTTGTAGATAAGGTCCTTGTATGGTTCCTCGTCTTCACAATAGTGATCGATCTCAGCCTGCAAACTCATGAAATCAAGCTCAGAATGTCCACAAGAAATCAAAAAGACTTTTATAACTACAAAGAAAGGTCAAAATTGTCCCTTTCTTCAAAGTTCTGTATACTTCATTACGCCAATGACTAATTCAAATACTTAAGAGACATGAAGAAAACGAAACGTTAAAGCATGTTTTTCCTGTTGCTAAAAGATTAATGCTACAGAACCCAAACATTGGAATGATACGGGCTGAGGAGGAAACTGGATAGTGAGTATTCAGGTCAACCCAAGTTTACCACTAACTTGGGATTGAGGCGTAATAGCTATTGTCAAAAGTTTGTAGATACTCATGCAATGAAAAGTCATACTAACAATATATGATATTATCCACTTTGCTAGACATTACTATTTGTAATACTTAGGCGATAAGTTTACAAAGAAACAAAGTTATTAGCTACTTAAATCAGTTACGTCTATTCTTAATATTTTTGGAGTGCTGTATTTCGTGTTTTTGCGCCTGTTGTTTCCTCCGTTTTTCTTCAATTCTAGGAGGAATTGGGAGAGGTACAAGGTGGCGAAGAAGGAAGCGAAGCTAGTGGTCATGGTGGCTAATACATCAGTTTTTGAGTACTTATACAAGAACTCAAGTGCAAATGCGGGGAATGGAAGTTGTATAAGCTCACCAAGGCAAGATAAAAGGGGCCCACAACCTGGACCAAGTGAAGTGCATTAAGGATGAGAATGGCAAAGTGTTGGTAGAAGAGACACAGATTATTTGGAGTGTAGGTTAGTGATGTAATGCATGAGGCGGAGGTGGAAATGAAGACCATCTGCAAGTCATATCCAAGAGAAGAAGTTTCAAGTATCTTGGGTCCATAATCCAAGGAGTCATAGAGATTGATGAGGATGTCGCGCATCTAGTGGAGTAGGTGGGTAGAATGAAGCCTCGCTTCGGGGGGTATTGTGTGATAAGAATGTGTCGACAAAGCTTAAGGATAAGTTTTATAGAGTGGTTGTTAGACCAAATTTGTTGTATGGGGCAAAGTGTTAGTCAAGTACACCCATGTCCAAAAGATGAATGTAGCAGAGATGATGATGCTCAAATGGATGTATGGGCATACTAGGAGAGATATGATTAGGAATGAAGTAAACGAGATAAGGTGGGAGTGACTTCTGTGGCGGACAAAATGAGGAAAGCGACCTAAGATGGTTCGGACATGTGAAGAGGAGGTGCATGAATGTGCCACTAAGGAGGTGTGAGGGGTTGGTTATTCAAGGAGTTAGGAGAGCTAGAGGTAGGCCGAAGAAAAACTAGCGGGAGATGATTAGACAGGACATGATATGACACAACTTCAACTTACTGAGGACATGACCCTTAATAGAAAGGTATGGAGGTCATTAGGGTAGAGAAGATTAGTAGGTAGTCGAGTGGTGTCGTACTTTATCTGGGATAGGCTGGGACTAGCCTCCTCTACACTTCTCCATACTAATAGTATTATTTAGTATTCACATACTTCTTATTTTTGATGTGCTGTACTATATGTTTCTCATTTGCTGTGTATCTTGCTATTTGTTGTTATATTATTTTCTCCTTGCATCCATGCTTCGATTCTTTTCTCTCTTCTTTCCTTCTCTTTTCTTCTCTTCTCTACTCTTCTCTATTGAGCTGAGGGTATTTCGAAAACATTGTTTCTACCCAACAAAGGCCGGGATAAGATTTGTGTACATCCTACCCTCCGGCCTCTCCAGACCCCATTTGAGGGATTATATTGTATATGTTGTTGTTGTTATACCAGTTATGTATCAACTACGTAAAAAGGCAATTGAACATGCATAATATGATAATCTTGAATACTTAGGCACGATTTAGCTGCATAACCTACTCCTATGCCTTTCCTATTCCTATATCATTCTTTAAATCGTAGAGCGTTTGACTGGTTAACAGGAATCATAACCTATTGACTACATATAAGGAAAATACAAGTCCTAGGATAATTCTAAGAATTCATTCAACTTCTATACACTACAGTCAAGAATTTTTTGCACTATCCGATAACCTAATTAAAGATAATATCAGGCGACTGTCAGTGAAAAGAGAAATTCATAATCTAGAAATAAGACAAGTAACCTGCTAAGACATGTTAAAGTCAACTGATTCTGATAGTTTATAATTTGCTCTTACACTGACATTGCATGGAAGAATTTTACTATGAACACTAATGAGCCAATTCATTCTTATTTCATTATACCTGATAAACCTTTTCTAGAGTAATCAGCTGTTCAGCAGAAAGAGGAATTCTGCAAACATATACACCTTCATATACTGAAGAAAGCATGATTTGAAACGTACCTTGCGAATTGCTTTTAGGCAAACCACAAGATTTTCACCCATCATATCGTTAAACAGCGTATCTTCCTCCAAAGCGTTTAAAGAATCAGTAAGACAATCAGGTAATCTTCGATAATCCTCTTGATTGACATCACGAGTCTCTCTATCTGTTTCACAAAAAACACAAGTAGAATGTCTGATAACATAATATGAATATCTCACTTATGGACAAAGAGATCTTGTTATCAGTTTTCATGTACTCCTCTTTGATAAGTGATAAATCATAGCAAGAAAATCACTGATAATGCCCAAAATTAGTTTTTCACAAACAGCATGCACTTATTTTGACTACGTATTGTAGAGCTTAACTTCTATACACTGTAAAAGAATTGCCAGACCACATAAGCGATAACTTCAAGTAACCTTCTATAAAAGGTGGTTTAGTAACATGAAAATAAAATGGCATGTAGCCTGGGTTAAAGTGAATTGATAGTGTGAAATTATTAATACTATTTTAGTGTATATAAGTTAAGTCCAACATTATATTATAAAGTCATTCGAGGAAGTTTTAAGCCATGTTATTCTGAGAGTGCAAGAATACTTGTAGACGAAAAAAAATAACTTCATCCTCTATTCCTTTCTATCCAAACTAGGAAAACTCAACTTCTGGTACAGGTTCATTATATTTCTTTTTTTCATGACATTGCACATACTTTTGGTTCTTGTTTCTATTTCCATTTTTCATATCTTCTGTCTAAAGGTAAGTGAATACTGAATATAAGCACAACTATCAAGTAAATTGATGAACCAGCGTGATGTGTAGGTTACGCGCACATCACAGGTTTGAACTCCTGCTGTAGGCAAAAGCATGATATTTCAGTGGAAAAAAATAAAAGGGCGGTCCCATCATTCACTGAGTTTTGAATATATACGAGAGCAGCTCAATCCTGCCAAGACATATTTTGGTGCTATCAAAAGAGAAGATAACCTTGTCCTATACTATTGATGAAAGTAGCTGATCCCAACAGAAATGATATGCATTCCAGGCTTAACCATAAAATTCAGGGCAAAATAATACTTGAAAAAGGTAATTTATACAGTAGACGGAAAACTGCTAAATAATTGTCTAACTTACCTACTGGTGCAGGAAGGTTCAACTTTTTCCGCAAGCCATCAATCCCAGCAGTCATTATAGAAGCAAGTCCTAAGTATGGGTTCGTACACGCATCAAATGCAGGACATACGAAATGGCTTACAACAACAGCTCCAGGAAGTGTACAAGTACTAATTTTTGCATATGTGTTTTCTTTCTGCCAGGTGACGAATCGTCCATTCCATTCCTTAGAATATAGGCGCTCATAACTACAAAATAAATTTCGAATGGTAACTAAAATAAGGGAAACATAGAATCAAGGATCAGGTCAGGTAGTTCAGGGTTGATGGGAAGTGCAATTTTGCATAGACATACTCAAATGACGAATCTTTTTTGTAAGAGGAGACCGAACCCAAAGAGAACAGATTTTCATCTCTCTGTGCAATAATCCATAATGCAGAAACTTTAGATAGAAAATGTTGTTTAATTATTGGAAAGACCAGACAAGTTTGAGCAAAAGAGAGACTTCAAAGTCAAACAATCACGAGGAAAAGAAAATGCGAGATATAAAAGCAAAAGATATCGGGTGTTTTGACAGAAATTTCAAAAGAGGAATGTTCTTCACTTGATTTTGTCACTAGTAAGTCCACTTAGCTCAAAACAAACTTATTTACTACAACCAAGGAGTGCAAAAAGTGTCAATTTTGCTTAGTTCTTAGATTTCGTGTTTTCTTATTATTCAACACTTGAGTAATTCAATATATTAATTGGAAACCTCTCTGCATAACCCTTTCATAAAATATAAAATGGAACTAGTTGCATTCTACCTACTCTGATAAAACAAAACATAATGTAAAATGCCTTTAGAAGACATCTTACTACGTAAAAATCTTATCATAATATTTAAAGATATTATGAAAAACTAATTTTCCTATTATTTTGGTTGAGGATGACATTTATTGGGATGACAAAAGTGATAACAAAATAAATATAAAGCGCCATTTTACAATATAAGGTCGTTCTTGGAATATAATAGTTGGACGACAATGGGATTTTACCATCATGGAACTATGCTCATTTCAAACAATTGGCTCAAGGAAATCATAAATCAATCTCCAATACATATATACAAAGAAAATAGGGAACTAAATCATATTGAGAGTGAAAAAAAATATTATTTACACTGTCGGTTCATTTAAGTTAAACGTTAACAAGTATAGAAAGCTCTAACCTTGTAGGATGTGGTGCAGTAAAAGCAAGTACGGAAGGAAGATGATCTAACACCCCACTCATGAATGCTTCTCCAATCTTGGAAATACCATACTGACTTGATCCATCAGATGCCTTAAAGACGTTAATTCCATTCGTGGACAAACTAATATGCACACTAGATCCACAGCCATATTCATCTAATGAATACCTAAACAAAAGGGAAATAAGGTTAGAAAATTGAAAGGGAAATAAGGTTTTGAGATGGGACTCAGTTCAAAATTTTATTTTATTTTTGTCTGAAAGCTTGGCATATCTTTAACCTATACCCCTCCTGTGCTAATGGGAAAGAAAATTATATTTCCTTTTTTGCGTTTTCCAATGTAGATATAACTCTCTCATCACAATTTTATCTCGATCTGTGGTTAATAGGGTTGTAAAGGGAGGAAGAATTAAGTTGGTAGAATTAATTGGAACTAATTGGGGTGTATATTAAAACAGTGGCGAATCCAAAATTTTAAGGCCTTGGGTGCTCCCTCAACTACCAATCACAAAATAGAATAAACAAATTTATGACTTGTCATAATAAAGACAATCATATCTAAACATAATAGCCAAAATAAATAAAAATAAATAAAGAACTACAATAAATATTATTTTGGATAAAGATTTTTTTTTATTTTTTAGAAAAGCAATCTAGGAAGATTTAGCAAAAAGCAAGTAGAGAAAGAGAAAAAAGAACTATAAAGAATTGCATAGGGAGAGAAAAGTAAGAGTGTGTTTGGTATGAATGGAAAATGTTTTTCAATTTTCTCATGTTTGGTATGAAGGAAAACATTTTCTGGAAAACATGGTTTGGTAGAACTTCAAAAGAAGCAAAAGCATATCTGCACTAACTAGTAAGTAGAAAAGAATATGGCACCTAAAAATACCGTGGAAATAATGGTACTTACTTTGGCAAAAAAGTTGGATGATATCCATATTTCCTTCCTACTGTTCTTATGACTTCACGTGTATAAATTAATCTATCAGCTGCTCCAAAACAATCTGTGTATTCCAGTCCAATCTCAAATTGACCTTTCCCAGCTTCTTTATGTAGCTGCATATTTGAAAGAGACAACATAAAGGGGAGTAATCTTCATGAAACTGAAAAATATTACTCCTCTATTCCATCGCACTCTTCCCTTTTTAGTCTGTCCCGAGAAGAATAATATTTTTCTATATTTAGAAACTCTTTTATGTTAACTTTTTCATTTTACCCTTAATGACACACTCTTATAGCAATAGGAATATCATGACATGTTTAGGACCACAAGTTCTATGAGCATTTTCCGATATGTGCCAAAAGTCTGCACTTCTTTAAAAGACTACGTGTCCAATAAATACCACCATAAAAATGAGACAGATGAAGTATATGATTAAATATGTTGGATATATCTCACTTATTGTAGGTAAAGAAAGATACTATATCAGGACAGTTAAATGCCATGATACTATTATATGTGTAAAAGTGTGGAAAAAAAAACTTGTCATGTGAGGCTTATAACTCTTTTTCCTTTTATATTCTCTTCTGTTTTTTCTCTCATTATCCCCTGAGATCTGGGATTTAGGCCAGAGGTGTTTGATGTTGTTCATGAAGAAATTATCCATGTAAATCATGCCATCGAACAACATGTTATCTTTTTCCCGAAGACTACTTTGTATGTGAATGAAAAACAGACAGATCCCGATATTTCACTTTCAATGCTTCTCCTATAGCATGATGATCTGACAAGAAATAGTTCTTCAGTGTATGAAGGATAATGACACAGATTTGACTTTAGAAAGTTAAAAACAGTTTTGAAACTAATCGAGGAAAAGAACTCTCATGACACTAACAAAAGTAAGATAAACATATCTTCATAAATTAACTAAAGTAAAAATAAACATATTTTCATCAAGAAACAAAATAATAAGTAACCATCACTGTGTGGGAGTAGTGGTGTTATATTACATATTTATGAGGCTATTTAATTCATAAATAGTACTTATAACGAAAAAGGATCCTGTGTTTAATTCACCTCATAAGTTAGCTTATGAGATGGGGATCGACCCAAAGAAGGAAACAACCCATTCTCTCAATGAATATGGGAATGCAAGATACTATCGATAGGGCAAGAGCAAAATTCCTAGAGTCCGAAGCTCCAATTCAAGCGGAATAAATGGATATACATGCTAAAATCTCCTACTTAGCTACAAGACCATTTGCAACAACATGAGAAACATCAAATTTGCAAGCAAACTTTCAAGAAAATAAAGACTTACATAATCTACTGAAATATTCAAGGACTGAAGATAAGTGAGCATCTCCTCAAGCATCGGGGATGCCATATCAAATGCTGTTGTATGGCACTTCCTCCACTTATCCGATGATTCAAACTCTTCTTTGTCGTTCCTGTGTGACTTAATTATGCATATTTAGCGTAACATGTCTAGAAAAGAGCTCCAAAAACATATATGATGGAAGACTATAAACAAAACTATTATAGGAAGCATTCTCTCACATACTTTATTACACTCTCCAGAAGATAAAATTCAACTTCAAAGCCTGCAGTCATGACCTAAAAATGTAGATACACGTTAGATCGATAAATTTTCAACTCTTTGCTGCACAAGAAATTAACCATACCAAGCCAAATTCATCTTTTAAAATTTGAGAGACTCTGCGCAAAGCTTCTCTTGGACAATAGTCCCATGCTTCACCCGATTTAGTACACATGTCAGCCAATACCATTTCTTGTTGTTTTGCCCTGGACCAAAAAGTGCACATTAGAACATGATTGCAAATGTTTTTCAATATGATGACCAAGTTACAGAAAAAGTATTAAGCCCACTGCCTGGTTGTCATGCAGAGGTCCATACACTTCATATGTGAACCCACAATTTCAGCAGTACAATGGTTTCAACTGGAAAAAATAAGATTGAACACCTCAAATAAAATCCTAAATCTGCTTCTGCAGACAAGCAAAAACACTATAGGATTAGACACCCGTGTGTGTACAATCTTAAACAAATCACTTAGGAAGTGTTCCTTCAGTTTCCTATTGCGTTCTCAAAGTATATGCCGATCCAATAGCAGATATCCTCTCCTCCATGATTAGCAGTGCACCTAATGGAGTTCTTCCCTTTAGATCTGGTTGTTAATTATGGTATATTTGGATAGTGCAGGTATGAGAATATTTTAATATGGTATGATTAAATAGTCTAGATATAAGAATATTTCAGAATTCCTTTAATTAGGCAGTTAGGAAATTGTGTAATATTTTATTATTTTTTTTCCTTATTTAGATTATCTGTAACAGCTATTTAATCCCATCAACTTGAGGGAATGATCAATCAATTCAATTTCCAATATCTCCGTTTCTTTTTCTAATTTCTCAAGGTATTAGAGCCATTGGTTTTTTAGCCCCCTCTCTAAAAGTTCTTCTATTTCAGTAATAGAAACTGAAAGGAAAAAAACAAAAAAAAAACAAAAAGAAATAGAGGGATTGATCAACTGGTTGCTAAATCAACCATATCAGAAAATTGTTGAGTCTCATCTCTCTTTTTCTTCAGTACTTCTTTTCGTGAAAAAAACGGCTCATAATGGATGGATCATCTCAATCTATCACTTTAACTTGAGCAGATTATAATGACTACTTTCAGTATCAAACATCAATGCAACAATCATCAACTGCTTGCACAATACAACCTGGTAACTCCTTTGCTTATGTCGCACAGTCTTCGTCTCAGGAATAATGAATTCTTGATTCTGGTTCTTCTGACCATATTTCTGGTAACAAAAACACTTCCTCTACTCTTACTACCCCTTCTATCCTCTCTACTGTTACTTTGGCGAATGGGTGAAAGACGATTGTAAAAGGGATATGTATAGCTCATCCTCTGCCTTCCATACCTTTAAAATCAGTCATTTTTGCACCTGAATGTCCATATAATCTTATTTCATTAGCAACTTAATAAAAAATCTGAAATGCGTTTTAACCTTCTTTTGATTATGTTATTGTGCAGGATCGGAGTACTGAACAAGTGATCGGAAAAGGACATGAATCACAGGGATTGTACCTACTCTCTATCCTAACACCACATGTTGCTTTCACTTTCGTTGTTTCTTCTGAATTGCTCCATAGTCAATTGGGTCATCCAAGTCTCTTCAAATTGCAAAAGATGGTCCTCGGTTTATCTAGATTATCTTCGTTAGAATGTGAGTCGTGTCAGCTTGGTAAGCACACTCGTGCTTCTTTCTCAAAACACGTCAATAATAAGGCCACCTATGTTTGAAATCGTTCATTCGGATATATGGAATCCAAGTCGTGTCAGTTCTTCCTTAGGCTTTCATTGTTTTGTTACTTTTATTGATGATTATTCTCGGTGCACATGGTTATTTTTAATAAAAAATAGATCTGAGTTATTCTCTATCTTTCAAAAATTTCATGCTGAAATTCACAATCAATTTGGTATTTCCATTAAGAAGTTAATCAGTGATAATGCTCGAGAATACTTCTCTACTTCTCTCTCTACCTTTATGTCATCCCAGGGCATATTGCACTTGTCTTCTTGTGCACATACTCCTCAACAAAATGAAGTTGTTGAGCGAAAGAACAGACATCTAATTAAAACAGCTTGAACATTGCTTATTCACAATCATGTCCCTTTACATTTTGGGGTGATATCGTTATTACTGTTTGTTATTTAATCAATCGCAGGCCTTCATCTGTTTTGAAATACCAGAGTCCTCACTCAGTCCTCTATTCGGACAAAAAATTGTTTCCCCTTCCTCCACGTGTATTTGGTTGCACGTGTTTTGTTCATAACCTTACCCCCGAAAAAGATAAACTTCAGCACAAGGCTTTTAAATGTGTATTTCTCGAGTATTTTCGTCTACAAAAAGGTTACAAATGCTTTGATTCCTCTACCAATAAGTACTTGATTTCTGCAGATGTTACATTTTTCGAGACTTCTCCGTATTTTTCTCCTAATACAGAAAATCAGAAGGCCATAGCAGTCCTTCCCATTCCAACTATTCCAACCCCAGCTCCACCTCCAACTCTTAAGGTCTATTCCCGACAAACTCAACCTCCTACTAAACTTGCTAATCCAATTGGTATTTCTAACTCTGATACAGGTGAACAAAGCAATCTTGGTAACTCATTACTTGCTCCAACCTAAGTTGCTCAAACTCTCCAAAAATGTTGCCACGCCCGTGTCGGATCCTACAAAATTACACTATCTTTGGAGGATCTGACACGCACCCGTCGACACTTTTGAAGATTTCGAGTAACATAGGCTCCAACAACGTCTTCTGCTTCGGTTGAGCACTTATCTGATGATCTTCCCATTGCTCTTCGCAGAGGTATTAGAACTACTGCCAATCAAACTCCTGTTCATTCTTATTTAAGTTATCATCGTTTGCCACCTTGATATCATGCCTTCCTAACTAGTTTATCATCAGCCAAAGTTCCTAAGACCGTGGTAGAAGCACTGGTTCATCCAGGTTAGCATCAAGCTATGCTTGAGGAGATGACTGCTTTGCATGATAATGATACTTGGGAGCTTGTTCCTTTACCTGAAGGCAAAACCACAGTTGGTTGCCATTGGGTATTCGTAGTTAAGGTAGGTTTGGATGGAGCTATTGATCGTCTCAAAGCAAGACTGGTTGCTAAGGGATATACTCAAGTTTATGGCATCAATTATGGAGATGTTTTCTCACCAGTTGCCAAGAAGGCTTTTGTTCGTCTTCTCATCTCTTGGCCCCTTTTTCAGCTGGACATCAAAAATGCATTCCTACATAGAGAACTTGCTGAAGAGGTATATATGGAGCAACCACCAGGGTTTGTTGCTCAGGGGGAGTCTAGACTAGTTTGTAAACATCGTTGATCCCTCTATGGTCTCAAGAAATCTCCCCGAGCATGGTTTGGTAGTTTTCAAGTGGTTGTCCAATAGTTTGGAATGATCTGAACAGAAGTTGATAATTCTGTATTCTATAGGCATTCATCTCATGGCAAACATATCTTTTTAATTGTTTATGTTGATGGTATTGTTATCACAGGAGATGATCATGAAGGTATTGCTCAACTCAAACAACACCTCTCAAGTCACTTTCAGACTAAGCATTTGGGCAAGTTGAAATGCTTTCTAGGCATTGAAGTGGCACAGTCTGGCCATGGTATTGCTATTACTCAAAGAAAATATGCCTTAGACATTTTGAAAGATGTTGGTATGTTGGATTGCAAACATGTGGACAGTCCAATGGATCCAAATACTAAGCTTATTCCAGGATAGGGGGAGCCTCTAAAAGATCCTAGCAGAGATACCAGAGACCTGTTGGCATACTCAACAATCTAACGATCATGCGACCAGACATCTCATTTGTTGTTAGTGTAGTTTGCCCGTTTTTGCAATCACCTTGTGATAGTCACTCTAATGCAGTGATTCACATCCTGCAATATATCAAAAGCTCTCCCGGACAAGGTTTACTATATGAAGATAAAGGACACACCAACATTGTCAGATATCTTGATGCAGATTGGGCAGGATCTCCTTCTGATAGGCGGTCCACTTCAGGTTATTGTGTTCTAATTGGAGGCAATCTAATATCTTGGAAAAGTAAAAAGCAAGCTGTCGTAGCTAGATCAAGCGAGGACGAATATCGAGCTATGGCACTAGCTACGTGTGAGCTTATATGGTTGAGAAAACCTCTCCAAGAATTGAAGATGGGAGGAGTTGAACCGATGACATTAATTTGTGATAACAAAGTTGCACTACATATTGCTTCTAATGCAGTGTTCCATGAAACAACGAACCACATTGAGAAAGATTATCACTTCATTCGAGAGAAGATTGAGTCTGGATATATCACCACAAGTTTTGTCAACTCAAAAGATCAATTGGCAGAAATTTTCACAAAATCACTCCGAGGATCCAGAATTGACTAAATCTGTGGCAAACTAGGAGCATACGACTTATACGCTCTAGCTTGAGGGGGAGTGTTAATTATGGTATATTTGGATAGTGTAGATATGAGAATATTTAAATATGGTATGGTTAAATAGTCTAGATACGAGAATATTTCATAATCCCTTTAATTAGGCAGTTAGAAGATTGTGTAATATTTTATTATCTTCTTTCCTTATTTACATTAACAGCTATTTAATCTCATCAACTCAAGGGAATGATCAATCAATTCAATTCCCAATATCTCCTCTTCATCTTCTTCTTCTAATTTCTCACTGGTTAACTAGATATTGGATAAATTTGAAAAGGTTTTGTATTGTTTCTAAGAGGCAATATAAACAAAGTTGAGAACTCCCTATTGTCAAAAATTGAACAAACAAAAGAGACTCTTCCCTAATTGTATAATACATGGTTTCTCAGGGAAATTAATATAGACAACCTACAGTCCATATGCAAATAATAAAACATAAATTCATGAGGTTAAAAATAATAGACAAGTACACAAGCAGTACCATGGAATTCTGCATTTGGTTGATAAATTTGGAACAATTGTTATCAAACCCGAACAGGTGAGATTAGTGTCCTCTACTGGTGAATCAGATACTGAACTTATCCCCATACACGCACGAGGTAAGCCTATACCATGCTTTTTCACAAAGCTATAGAAACGCTGTCGTGGGACACCCTGCAAGTGATGCAGAAGAAAGCATCAAATTCAATGAGTACACTTTTTCCACCAGACTAAGAGAGCACCTATCATTATCTCACATCATGTAGTGAAGGTAATCAAAATGGCTGAAAATTATACTGATGAACTACCTTGTCGTATCACAATATGAATGTTTCACAAAGTCAAGTTCTCAAATTTCACCAAATAAAGAATCATCTTACTTTTAGCTGACAACAACTTCCTATTTGAGGTAAAATGTTCTTATGGTGAAACAACCTTTCACCTGATTCATCATTCTTCATTCAAAGTTCTCTTAGCAGTATGTCTGAGAGCATTGATCCAATAAAATAAGGAGCTAGGTCAGATTGAGCTCAATTCAAGTGGTTCTTAACCTTCCCAAATGCGATCCTAACAAAAAATTTAACGTTTCCGATTTTGAATCAGAAAATGAATTATAAACCGATGGAACAACTGCCATTAGGACTGCCTATTTTTTTCTCATGATGAAGGAAAATCTATCAACAACAAAGCAAAGAGCCAAAGACTGACATCAAAGCCATATGAGGCTTGATAAGTTGGAAGAATAATTCTAGTTCAAGTCCAATCATTTGTGCTAAGCTAAATGTGTGATCATTTGTTGGTTTGAATGGCCTAATCTCCACATATGCTCTTAATTGAACAGAAAGAGGCAAGTATGCTGCTTATCCAAGAAACACACTAGGCATAGCAAAAATTTCAGTGGTAAATAATGCTTTCTCCTTGTATCCAGAGTGCTCTTGAAAAAACACTTTCTGGTTTACTATTCAGATTACACAAATTTGGAATTTAATATTATAGTTTATCCCTGCCTTATAATTAAATAACAGACATATTTATCTGTTATAAGACGATGATCACATTCTTTACACTAATTTTTTGATGTTCTGCTTGAGCCCAATAAGTAGTCCCATGGTCAAGTATGTCAGTGCAAATTGCAATTAACCATAACAGGCTTCTAAACCAATTGCTTTAAAAGAGATATCCAGGTAAATGTATATTAAAAATAACTTGGGCAATTCATCATTTGAGGTTCAAACTCCTTTCCTGTCTCGTTATGGAATAAAGACACTCTTGTCCCTGCTTACACACAGGGCACGGGAAGACCAAGTTTCTTACTAATTTGAGTGCAGAAATGTGCTTTATCATCCAACTGCCTATCATATTTGGGCTGTCGCGGGCATTGTAAAGATTATCATTAAATAATTCATTATCATAAGGAAAAATCAGTAACTTAAAAATAAAGGTAAAGCTTACACGGCATCTATGCTGGCCAGAAGCATCTATCCAAATCAAGCGAACAAGGGTAACATCCTTTGATGAACCATTTAACTCTTCATTCTGGAAGGAAGATGATACATGAGGTTCTACATCAGACTCTGTTGAAGAATCCTTTACTGAGCCATGTAACTCTTCCTTCATGAAGGGAGATGATATATGAGGTTCGTCAGAATCTTTTGAAGAGTCATCAAGTTTGTGTAATTTGTACAACTTCTTTGCATTTTCTGCAAAAATATCTTTAACGGCTGCGACAGCTTTTGTAATTGAAAGATCACCCTCAACCATCGCATCTCGTAGAACAGAGAATATCACTTCACGTGCTCTCTTTGCACCTGCATTAGAACCAAGTTTAGATTATATTTATTTTGAAAGGTATTAGAACCAAGTTTAAATCATTACTCATACCAAATTGGGAAGAAGATACAAAAGGAATAACGTATTTAGCTACGATGTAACTCAAGCTGTAAATTATTGTTTGGCAATAATCCTCTTTACCTTACAACTTCTAATGATAATTTACTTGATCAAAGTAATAATGCGCCTTAAGGAATATTTGCATCCCATTTAAGACCAGCAATAAGATAAACAATTCCTTTTAATTATTTAAGAAAATCGTTTAACAAACTAAAAATATAAATTCAATTTTCAATGCGTAAAACAATCCAGTTAGGTCATGGAATGAACTGGACAGAATACTGCTAGTAAACTGGCTGATGGCAAGACACAAGCAGAAATGAATGCATTTACATAATTTAAGGAGCATATCAGTGTCTACATCTGAGATATACTCTACATTTGCAGACACATTTATAATTTTTTCTAACATCATCTATCACCAATAGTCTATATACAATATTTTGCAATAGTGTAACAACTCAGCACACTAGAGATAATATCCGCTTTGAGCCTAGGCCCACACCGTTTTTAAACACCTCACTAGGATCTAAGGCTTGTTTTCTTATTTACCAAACATTTCTCCCGTATTTTGTGGGGATTTACCTAGGGGTCTCACATACACTCCTTTAGGGACTCAGCGTCATTGTTGAGGTTTGCCTCACTGTCACCTCAAAGATGTAGGATTCACCTAAACTCGGTTGAATGGTGAGGTTTGCCCCACCATCACCCAATGCTGCAAATGGAGTGGCTTTGTTACCAGACCATCCTTAGTGATATTATCCGCTTTGGGCCAAGGTCTACACGGCTTTAAAACATGTCACTAGGGTCCAAGACTTGTTTCCTTATATACCCAACATTTGTCTCATATTTTGCCAATGTGGGATTTTCCTAGGATGTCATAGATAGACGGTATTTGGTTTCCTCTTTCTTCCTTCCACTTCCTATCCTATTTTATTGGGTAATCCAACTATGCAATCTTAATATAAATATCCTAAAATGCATTACACATTCATAATAAGAAAAGATACATGTTGACAGTGAAATACCAGAAAAACATATGGAAACAGTCAAAAATATGTATCAAACATCCTCAATTGTTGAAACTCTAATAAAATTATGTTTGACAAAGTGTGGGAGAAGGACATGACATCATCGTGTGTAGCGTGATGAGTGTTTCTATTTTCTTAGCTGGCTAGATTAAATAGGTATTTTAGATTCGTTGAAGCAAAACCTTGTTATATATATATTTTCAAAACCAACAGTGCAAATACTTGTCATGTCATACTTCAACGATACAAGATAAGTTCAAGTTTGGCCAAACCTAGATAGAAGGCTTCAGCAAATGCGATGGCGTCAGTGCTGAACATAACCTGTTGAAATCCGAACATTATTTAGGAAGATATTCTCTTTAAATGGGGCCTCAAAGAGTAGTCAACTACGAATAAATGGAAATCCTAAGCCTGAACTGGAGAACATAATGTATCTGTAAGTACATGAACAACCTTATTCATTGGAGCAAGCTTCAGGAGTTCTTTCACTGATGATATCATCCCATGGAAGCTAAGTTTAGGAATTGCAAACCCAAAATCAAGATATACCTATATTAGAAGACAATCACCGTGTTAGGGAAACACGGGAAAAGATACTTCATCACTAACAATAGATGTGAAAAAGTCTCAAATTTGGCAGGTAATTCCTACTGCACAAGTAAAATCCATGTCTTAACATCAGAGCAACATGTTAATAGTTTCAGATAGAGGATTAATGATCTTACTTGAGGGTAAGCAGAAGCCAGATGTGAAGCTTCCTTTGAGAATGGGTAGGACGCATGCAAAAGCACTAATCGGCTATCAGTGAATCTCTTGTCCTCAAGGAGATTGTGAAGATAAAGGGGATTAGCCAGCATCATATCAAAATCCTTGTCCCCAAAACTGAAATGAAGAAATAAAACAATCTTTCTTATAAGAAATGGGAAAATACTATAAAAAGTAAAACCAAATGCATCTCCCTCGTTGGGTTTCTAATGTTAGTAAGAAAATTAACATGCAACAAAGGGCAGAAAAACTATAGACTTGATTCAATTCTGGAGAAGCTAGAATAAAATGAGGTCAAGCAATTACACCAAAACATTAGTTTTGTTACCCCATGTGGATCTGCATGGGCAAGTCATAACTCTGAGCCACCTCCAAAGCATGCATAAAGATATAATCAATGAAGCTCTTGTTCGAGATCCGCAGGGGACTCCCAGCTGGAAAGAGAGGAACTATCAGAATCAGCTGCTCAATCATGGTGCATTACAACCCCACATCGTGCAGGACTCACCGCATAAAACATCACTCAGGCCCTCTTCAGCCTCACTTTTGGTGACTTCTGTATTAATTGCAAGGCCGCTACGACATGCAACCATACTTTTAAAGGCAACAACCTTATCAGCTACTGTGTGGAACAAATAGGAAAAACTTTTGGAACCATAACTTTTTACACATCAAATGAAACATGTTTTGTACTATTCTGGAATATGTTGACTGAAAATCCAAAGGATATAACTTCAACTCCTTAGTGAAAATCTCCATGAATGAATCCAGTGTCCATGTTGCTCCATCTGAACCCTAGAATAGAATAGGATAGGATAAAGAGATAAATAGATCTAATAGGGGTATAAGGAGATGACAAAGACAGAATATTCTTGAGATGATTAGCATGACAAGAAAATGAGCTTCCACTCCCTGGTGTCACTGATAACAATAGTTACAAAACAACCAACATCCAACTATTAAAGGACTTCAAGCCCCTCCACTTTACCATAGTCAATAAAAGTAAAAGATCTGTCAATAATTTAATACTGTAAAATAATTGGAGAACAAACTGTGCAGTAGCAGCAGTTTTACATAAATGATGATATAATATCCTAGCTCTTTATATATGTCAGCCTACAAATTCAAGTTCTTTTCCTGATGGATCTGAGGTTCAAGTCGAGCAATGACAACAGATTAAAAAGAATTTCAAGTTTTCACTTATATTTGTCACATTGGTTCATTGACTTGTTCATTTATTTTTCTGATTAGCTCGCATTTTAGTTTCTTCCGTATGTCCGACCAATTTCTTTTGGTATTCATAGGGGAATTTTTTACGGCACCTTCAGGTTGAAAACAAGAGTATCTACTTTTCTTGACAGTAAAATTGTACCACATTGCTAACAGGCAACTAGCAGTTCCACTGACATGCAAGTTTTGTGCAACAAGCAATCCAATAAGTTCAAGGTTTTGGGTCTGAAGTAAACAATTCATTGAACTGACAAAAATAGCTCCAATAATCAAGTTATATATCCTATAATGCCATGAGTTTGCTTTCTTAATTTAGATTATATATTTATATAATATGTACCTTTTTCTGTTACTATTATCTTAAGAACTTGTAATATGTGAAAACATAAGAGAAAATGTTATTTCCTTCCAGCAACAATGGCCAAATAAATAGACAATGCAAGAGCTCTATAAGATGGGGACAAAATTAAAGTTGGTAAAATTAGATAAAGGATGTTTGGTGTAAGACCTGACTCATATTTTGTGAACAATAGGAGAATCTTACTCACTGGAAATGTATGAAGGGTTTAGCTTCAGCAGATTCCATGATGACTCTCTGTTCTATTTTTCCTTGAGTACCTTATCAAAATCATGTTTATCTAAGTGGCAATAGTCTCCCATTAAATTCTTTTTCCAGTTGCACTCTCCCATGTGGTAGTGCCATCAAGAAGTTGATTTTACAGTTTAAGATGTTAATAAAGCGAGCAATGAATATTATATTACCTTGTCAAGAATCTTCTCAGCTAGATGCTCAACTCGTAGTATTCTACCAACCATTGGTACAACTTTTTTGTGCCATTCAATGTCAACCATTTTATCCAATTCAATTCCATCATCAATTAGTACTGTATAAATTCTTGCAGCCCTGAAGCAAGTAATAGCACTCTGCTCCAACCCTAAACTCCGGCGAGTTTCTTGAACAGTATGCAAACCTAAACTTAAGCTTAAACTTGGGCCATATAGTTCTGTTAATTCCCTCAGCCCTCTCTGCCAAAAAAAAATTGCTGTAAGAAGAATTGCAAAGAACAAAATATAAATGTCCAAGAATTAGAGTACATGAAGCAACATAAGTAAAAGGGAAATGCCTGCAACACATTTATCCACGTTATTGCACCAAAAAACTGGTGAAACTAATTGCAATCCCAAAACAATTAGTGTCCATTGAGCCTACTGATTGGGAACATAATTTTGCACTAAAGCTGTTCGACATATTTCTCCAATGAGTCTTGCAAGTGGATCTGGCTTTGCTAGTGTGAAATTTTCCTGAATTGATATTCCCTCCCTAATATATTCAAATAGTATTAGCAATTGTTGATTAGACATACCAAATATTCCATTTAATATCCCCCAATTCATCCAAGTTTAAACTAATTGATTTGTCATCCATTTGTTGACTTGACTTAACAAGCTAAACTCAAAATAACTCATCAATTTTTTGGGTTAAAATGTAACTAAAATTTGAAGTTTTAAACATACAAAACTAAATTTTGAGATTAAGAATTATGTAAGTTTGGAAGAGCTTATGCTAATGATTTAGGACGTATATACTAATATCAGCTTTCACATTTTTAACACATAAAAAATGAAGGTCAGATTATGACAGTTAGTTGATTTAACTTATTTTGATCTAAGAAAATATTGAACAGATTGAACTATGAGTACTTTAATCATTTTTTATCTCCTTATATTTAATACAATTCACACATTTGTCACCACCTCCTTATTTGTTGTTCTTGAAGCATTGTGTAAATAGAGAGAAATGACATTCTTCGAAATATTTTTGTCCGAGAAATGTGAAAACATGAAAGATTTGTGTCTTTATTCTTTACATATACTTTTATCACTCGACATAGCTAAAGTATATGATATACTCGATTGGAAATATTTATGCATGGTGTTGAGAAGAATGGACTTTGTTGAACTGTGGCTCAACATAATATGGAGGTTGCTTTTTTAATGTGTGGTATTCTGTGAATTTAAATGGTTCAAGACATCTATTTTCCAATCTACTAGGGGCATTAAACATAAAGACCCTTTGTCACCATCTCTTATTGTTATTAGTGTTGAATTGATGTCTATATTGATAAACAATCTCCAAGAAGATGGATTTATTTCATATTCTATTGAGAAGATAGGTCCCTTCATAAATCATCTATATTATGTCGATGACAAAGTTGTATTTTCTTCTGGGGTTTCATTTTTTATTAAGAAGATGATGCATAAATTAGAAGTCTATGAGCATATCTATGACAAATGGTGAACAAGAACAAATGTAGTTTTTATATATGCTTCTTCAAATTTAACTGATGATCGAATTAGGGAGAAAATTTCCATCAGAAAATTAAGCCACCTCCAGTTTTCAATGCAATATTTAGGTTGTCCTATATACACTGGAAAAAAAAATTTGTTTATTTCAACACTATGATGGCCAAGATTTACAACGGTATGCCAGGATGGCAAGGATAATTACTCTCTTTTCAAGGTAAATTTGTTCTTATCAAATCAGTTCTCCCTTCCTCTTCATATTATGTATAATTTTTATCCCTCAAAACAATCCTCAGTCAAATTGAGATGATCATCTCCAACCTTTTTTTTGGAGGGAAAGGAGAATCTCAAGAATAGAAAAAACATTGGATTAGATGTAAGGACTTGTGTTATCCTACTTTTGAAAGTGGAGCTGGCTTCAAAATTCTTGTTGATTATTCTAGAATCTTTTCTGTCAAGACATGGTGAAACTTTAGAATTAATAATAGTCTTCTAAGAGATTTTTTAGAAGCTAAATATTGTAAAAGGAAGCATCATGTCCAAAAAATGGTATTCTGGACAATCTCATTATTGGAGAAGATTGATGGATATTAAAGAAGATGATGAAAAGCATTTGATATGTAAAATTGGTTCCAAATTAATTTCCTTCTGGTGGAATGAATATATAATTTGTCGGGAAAGGATGCACTTGCTAAAATTAATGATCAGTTTCATAATGCTCCCAAATTTTTGTTAATAGTTTTATTAAAAATAAAAATTGAAATGTTGCTAGGTTGAGGAATCATATTCCTAATTAATTGATTGTTGATATTAGAAATATTGGGGTCTCTAATAATAAGATTAATACTCCTATTTAGTCCAGACTGACAAGTTATCTTGTAAAAGTGCTTGGCATGGCCTCAGGAAGCGAAAGCCTAATACCCTTGTAACATGATTTGACACAAGAAGATTCCTTATAAGATATCCTTCTTTGTTTACGGAATGCTTCACAAAAACATTCCTACTGGTGATGGACTTAAGACATTTAAAATTGTCATTCCTTCTAGATGTTGTTGTTGCACGACATATAAGGAAGAGAGTATCAAACATTTATTTTGTGCAAGAAGTGTTTGGTCATTTTATGAACAATCATGCATGTGATATTTTTATAAAAGAGGGTAACACTAGGCAAACAATGGTGGTTAATCAAGACCAAAAATTTCTCTCCTCCAAGTTGTTCCTATCCTCACATGTTGAAAAATATGAAAAAGTAGATGTGCATCTAGATATGACAACATCCACACGTCTAGTAGACAAATTATCCAACAAGTGGATACGTTAACATCTATATGAATCAGTTCCCAATTTCACGATCTTTAGTTACCGATGGGATGAAAAGACATGTGCAAAACCATTGAAAGTGCTAAACAATGCTTTTCTTGTAGCTTGGTTATATGGATAAAGCCAGATTCTGATTGAGTTAAACTTAACTTTGATGATTGTTGCAAAGGAAATTCTGAAAGTTTTGGTGGTAATGATATTATCAGAGACCACAATGGAAATTTCCTCATTGCATATGCTAACAGTAATAATATGATTGAGGCTAAGGCCTTGCCCCAAGGATTGAAAATATGTCTTGATGAAGGATATAGTTCTGTGATTGTTCAGTCTGACCTTCAAGTTATCATCAACATGATTAACAACAAAATGAAGATTTTTTGAGAAATGCAACAAATTATTACTCATATCGAAAACTTCTCTAAGAATCTCAACTGCTCTTTTGTCCATATTTATAGAGAAGGTAGCATGATTGCATATTATCTTGTAGACATTGGAGAAAGAAACAAAATATTCATGAAGTTCAATTATGTCGTTTCTCTGCCTAGTATGGTTAAAACTCTTATCACAATGGATAGAGAAGGCACACCAAACTTCAGAGTCAAAACCTAGGAGGAATAATTTTGTTATTAATGCTAGATGATAATGTACTTCTAGTAGTCTTGACTACTTATATAGCCTCATTTTGTATAGATGAAAATTCTCATTTCAATCTGGATATTTATATGCATTCTAACAACTCTCATTTATTTTTTGTAGTAATTAGCTACACTTCTCTTTTTTTGTACTGAGGCTATGATTTATGTCTTCTGATTGTATTACTTTTGTTTGATATATCTACACGTTGGACTGTTAAATAAAAAAACTATACTTTTATCACTTAACTAAAGTAGTTAATGCACACTCTTACCTTCAATTTATTATTTAATCACATTAAATTAATATAATTTAATATGAGTATTAAAAAAAAGTACACTAAAGTTACTAGTCATATACGACAAATAATGAGATGACCACAACTTGAAATACATGACCCAAACTCAATAATGTAGAACCAATTGTATTATTTGTACCTAAATCATTAAATTATTTTTTGTAACGAAAATAGTATTCAGATTTACCAAATAAGTATCATAAAATTTAGACACTGAATTTTTATTTTTTATAAAAGAAAAATCAATTAATTTTAGTATACAAAAATCCATAGAAAAATTATACTACTTCTGTCCTATTTTATGTGGTATTCTTTCCTTTTGACCGTTTTAAAAAAAAATGTCACCTTACTATAATTAGAAGTAATTTAACTTCAAGGTTCTCTTTTTATCCTTAATTAAATTATTTATAACCAAACAAATATATATGGATTGTGTTAGACCACAAGTTTTAAAAATCTTTTTTTTGTTTTCTAAATATTCTGTCAAGTCAAATGGTGCCACATAAAATGAGACGACGGAGTAATATATATTACACCTATTTTGAACATCAGATAACAAAGACACCGTAGAACATGCTTCAAATGTAATGTACTGTGAAACAAGTTTCATCGTGTTAAAAATACATTCACATTTTATTTAATTTCTTCGATGCAATATTAATATGTGGGTTCATGGGCACCAATAAATTTTACCTATATTTTATATATGTGTAATAAAATTTTACTAAATGATGTAAATATTTGACAGTAAACCCAGTTATCAATAACAATGAGGTCTTCCTTTCGTGAAATTAGGAAAATAAAATAAATTTATCCTTATTTACGGTATATTAATTTGAGATTTGTTGTAAACTTTAAAACTTGAATTTGTCTATATACTCATATATCTATAGAATGCATGCGAGGATCTAAAAGATATGCGATTTCAGAAGGATTTATTCAACCTAATAATGTACACCACATAATTTTTTAATCAAGTGGAATAGGAACAAACCTTGAAGTTAAGAGTGTGGGGCGTGTTATACAAAGCATCACCAGTAGCATCGGAGAACAATTTGAGAAAAGGGTAATCTGTGTCGATGGGAACAATGTTGTGAGCGTGAGCATCGACAATTTCCACAGCATCCACTGCTTTTTTGAGTTCAATAAGTAATTTGTCTGTTTTCATCTTCATGATTTCCTAATAATCTTCAAACTCTAAATTTGTTTAGTTTGAAAAAATGCACGTGAATTTGTCCATGCAATTATTTACTTATTTATCTTTGTTTGGATAAGCTTGAAAATCGTGTTATATTATGAAAAAATTGGTAGTTAGTTGAAATCGTCTCAATGTATCTAATTTTTTTTTGTGGTGATGACTACTTCAACTTGGAAGCTCAGCCTTTGCAATGCGTAAAGTTTGCTAGATGAGGGGTAAAAACTTTTATATTAAATTAATATAATAATTATTATGGTTAAGTAATTTAAAGTAGTAAACATGCATATTAGTTATATATTTGTTGGTGTTTATGCATTTTAATATTAAAATTAAAATATTAAGTGCCTATGTTAGTGGGTATAAGTTGATAAGAATGTGGTCATTGTTTCAGTGTAACTCTTGTAATCACTATTGCCATGATCTATCACTAATTTCACCCATTATTTTACCTCATTATATGTTATAACTTATGTAACCTTTAGACCATTCATTTACTTACATTATTATCCACATTATTCTTATTCAATACAAATAATAATTCCTCCCCTATAAATAGTGGTGTTTCTTCATTTGTGAAGTGTATGTCAAAAAAGATGAGAAGTCTGAAAAAATATTTTAGTGTGCAGTGAGGTAAGTGTAGTGAAAGAGAGTTGAGACAAAGAAAGTATTCTTAACTTCAACTATATTCACTATATAAAAGAGAATATTTATATGTTGAAGGAATGTGTGTTCTTATGTAGCGCTTCAGACTCCTCAACTAAATTTGGAGTTGTTTGAGTTATACGACGTTGTTGGGCTGTTGTATCCTGGAGGGGACGAGTCAAGTGTGATATTGCTGGATCAGTGTAGATTATGCTGCATTGGACTTGAATCTCCTTGAAGAGAGTGAGATATCAGCGCCTCAGCCTGAATGATATTTTATTCATTTTTATTATTTTATTTTTAGCTGTAATTTATTGTGTTTGTAGTATATTACACCTACAATTTTAAGGAGACTCATGTTTTGTTACAGTTTGAAAAAGTGCGGATATCAAGATAGAGGTCTCAACATCATTCCGCTCAAACGTCACTCTCTTCAAGAGATGGAAGAGAAGAGGTGTACGGTAAAGTATTTTTCTACTTGATCAATTCAATTGTAGAAGATGTAACGAAAAAAAAATTACCTAATATTTTCATGAATAAAGTGATATTACTTTTAATGAAAAAAATGATATCTGAATTCTTAAAATAGTTGGGGTTCATGAAATGATGAAAAAATATTTATGAAATTGTGATTTGTGCATCTTTGAGAAATGCTCTTAGAAAAGAGTATTAGAAACACATATATTTATTATGGAATAAATCACATGTTGTAATTTGGCTATAATGGGATGATTTTTGAATCTAACCTGAGAGTTGTAAATAATTTATGAAAAACATGTCGGGTAGCCATTTAACATGAACTGTTTGGTGAGATAATTTTGTTCTTGGAATGAAAAAATACCACAAAATATGTGATGGAAATTTCCTTGTCAAGTCTTGCAACTCCTTTTGATTCAATTGTGAAAATGGTGTGACAAAGAAAGAAGGAGTTTGCTAGCCTAATAAAAACATGAGATTTGTGACTGACAAGTACAGTTGATATTGCGTTTGCAGTAAAAGTACTTAGCAAGTATGAGTAATTCAAATGAGAAAATTTGGTGCTATTTGTTGAAAATGAGAAAAGCAAATTGGATTGTTTGCTAACTCTACTATGGAGTTTAATGTAACAGAAGAAATTAAGCTTCAACTAGTGGAAAAGTGAACTGATTTTACTATATCAAACACTTTATTTTGACAAATTAATTTTTCTAATTTTTATTAATTGTGATAGTATCAACATTATTGGTAGAATACATAATCGTTATTATAACAATATATTTAGACTCATGAGAAGAAAACACAATATTTTTAGATATATTGATCGTTGGTATACCATCAATATTAATTAATTGTTTTAAATCATGCATATTCATAAACTAAGACCTTAGCAAGATAAGAGTTTGAAGCAGATAGAGGGGGATGAGATTGAAGCTCATAAAATTCTAAGTCATATATGAGGAAATACAACCTGAAGACTAGAGATTCCATAACTAGGTTCAATAGGAAAAACGAATCATATGATCACTTGTTGTGAAATGCCCTAATATTTTTTTTCAATCCCTGTGATTTGAGTGAATTTATCCTATAATGATTTGTCGAGGTTAAGTCTTTGAACTCTTAATGAAATTTTGTATCTAGTATAGTGGGGTGTCAAATTATAAGAGCACCCTTGACAAATTCGTCTATATGAGTGTGAAAGTAGGTCGTTTTCTATGAGAATGGACTTGTTCTAAAAAATGCTCATGAAAATCGGGATAACTCATGACCGTAAAGTACTGCTGTGAAAGTGTATGTCAATACCTATATTATTGTGTGTAAATAGTGATACTTTATTTCCTTAAGAATTCATAGTTCAACTCTAAAACTGCTACTGACTCATGAGTAAAGGTTATTGTTTTACTAGGTGAAGGTTCAATGTAGAGCACATCCTCATTATGCATAAGGGCACAAATTAGTAAGTTCTTGTTTGGGGTATCCGATCGGGTGAAAAATGAGTGTAGGAAGGCTATGCTTCTAAGGAATAGGGATATCTCCAGACTAATGACTCATGCTCAACAGGTTAAGGGAGATAAGCTTAGGGGATTGGCTAAGGATAACAAAAAGGCCAGAACAGGAAACTATGAATACTCACAACAAAAGTTGGATGGTGGAAATCGCTCACAGTTTCAACAGAGATCTACAGCCCCAGCACATTCATCAGCTAGTGCTCCATCTCCCAGGTTTTGACAGGATAAAAAAGGTAGGGCATTAGGCTCTAAGTCTCAGGGGAGTGCTTCAGGTAACAGGACCTTTCCAACTTGTCCAAAGTGTGGTAAGAACCATCTGGGGGAGTGTTTTGCAAGCGAGGAATGGTGCTTTGGGTGTGGTCAGTATGTCCATAGGTTGAAGGATTTCCCTTCTGCCAAGCTGGGGCAAAGAGGTAACAACAATAAGGCTCAGTCTATAGCTCCAGCAGCACCAGCAGATCGCCCAACTCAATAAGGCGCTTCATTTGGTACAGGTGGCAGTCAGTGCCAGAATAGGTTGTATGCTCTCCAAGCTCTCCAGGACTAGGAAGATTCTCCTGATGTGGTCATTGGTACATTACGAGTCTTTCATTTAGACATTTACGCATTGTTAGATCCAGGGGCTACATTGTCTTTTGTAACTCCCAATATAGCAGTAAACTTCGATGTTTGTTCAGAAACTCTCTCAGAACCCTTCTTAGTCTCCAGTTGGTGACCCAGTTATAACTAGACGGGTATACAGAAATTGCCCTATCACAGTCTCTCAGAAAGTTACCTCAGCAGATCTTGTAGAGTTAGAAATGGTAGATTTTGATATCATTCTAGGCATGGATTGGTTACATTCTTGTTATGCCTCAGTCGATTGTAGAACTAGAATCGTTCGGTTTCAGTTTCCAAACGAGCCAGTCTTAGAATGGAAGGGTAGTAGCTCAATGCCTATATGTCGATTTATATCTTACCTTAAGGCCAAAAAAATGATTTCCAAAGGGTATATCTATCATCTTGTTCGGGTTAAGGATTGAAGCTCCGAAACCCTAACTCTTGAGTCAGTCCCAGTAGTAAATGAGTTTTCAGAAGTGTTCCCAAAAGATCTTCTCGGAGTTCCTCGCGAAAGGAAAATTGACTTAGGAATAGATCTCCTTCCATATACCTAGCCCATTTCGATTCCTGCTTACAAAATGGCTCCAGCCGAGCTTGAGGAATTGAAGGAGCAATTGAAATACCTTCTAGATAAGGGCTTCATCAGACTTACTATCTCTCCATGGGGTGCTCCAGTGTTGTCTGTGAAAAAGAAAGATGGTTCTCTCAGAATGTGCATTGACTATCATCAATTGAACAAAGTCACCATCAAGAATAAATATCCCATCCCTAGGATTTATGACTTGTTCGACCAACTTCATGGTGCGAGTTGCTTTTCTAGGATAAACCTTAGATCTGGCTATCATCATCTCAAAGTCAAAGATAGTGACATTCCAAAGACAACCTTCAGGACTCGGTATGGTCACTATGAATTTGTAGTTATGTCTTTTAGATTAACAAATACTCCTTCAGCTTTCATGGAATTAATGAACATGGTGTTCAAACAGTATTTGAACTTGTTCATCATCATCTTTATCGATGATATCCTCATTTATTCTCAGAGTGAAGAGGAGAATGTGACTCATCTGAGAGTTGTCTTGCAAATACTCAAAGATCACAGTTATTTGCTAAGTTAAGCAAATGTGAATTCTAGTTACAGTCAGTTGCTTTCCTTGGTCATGTGTTATATACCGAAGGAATCCGAGTGGATTCTTAGAAAATTGAGGCAGTGAAACACTGGCCCAAACCCACCACTCCAACAGATATTAGAAGCTTCTTAGGTTTGGCTGATTATTACAAGAGATTTGTTAAAGAATTTGTTAGTGGTTAGATGAGTGTGAGAAAAGCTTCTCAGAACTGAAGACTAGGTTGACTATAACTCCGATCTTGACTCTACCAGATAGTTCAGATGGTTATGTAATTTATTGTGATGCATCCAGGGTCTGCCTAGGTTGTGTGCTGATGCAGAGAGGTAAGGTCATAACTTATGCTTATAGACAACTTAAGGTCCATGAGAAGAACTAACGACTCATGACCTCGATCTTGCAGCCGTAGTATTTGCCCTAAAGATTTGGAGACACTACTTGTATGGTGTTCATGTTTATGTGTTCACAGACCATAAGAGCCTCAAATATGTGTTCACCCAAGAGTTGAATCTTATTGCTTGAATTCCTCAAAGACTATGACATGAATGTGCTTTACCATCCTGGTAAGGCCAATATAGTGGTTGATGTTCTCAGCAGACTGTCTATGGGTAGTGTACCACATGTT